CGCTCTTCGGGAACGTGCTGGTGTGCGCGGCCATCGTCCGCTACCGGCACCTGAGGAGCAAGGTCACCAACATCTTCATCGTCTCCCTGGCCGTCTCGGACCTGCTGGTGGCTCTGCTGGTCATGCCCTGGAAGGCGGTGGCCGAGGTGGCCGGGTACTGGCCCTTTGGGGCTTTCTGCAACGTCTGGGTGGCCTTTGATATCATGTGCTCCACGGCCTCCATCCTGAACCTGTGCGTGATTAGCGTGGACAGGTACTGGGCTATCTCCAGCCCTTTCCGCTATGAGAGGAAGATGACCCAGCGTTTGGCTATGGTGATGATCAGCGTGGCGTGGGCTCTGTCTGTGCTCATCTCCTTCATCCCTGTCCAGCTCAACTGGCACAAAGGTGGAGATGTTGTTGCTGCTGGTGATATTGGAGATGGATTTGGCGCCGGCTGGGCAGCAGCAGGTGCTGTCACCACCTGGGCGGAAGACATGAGCACCACGTGGGTGGCATTGGCAGCAATGAGACCCTCTGATGGGACCTCTGGCAGCAATGATACCCTCACTGGACCGTCCGAGAGCTGTGACTCCAGCCTCAACAGGACTTACGCTATTTCCTCCTCCTTGATCAGTTTTTATATCCCAGTGGCTATCATGATAGTTACCTACACTCGAATCTACCGCATTGCTCAAGTGCAGATTCGTCGTATCTCGTCCCTGGAGAGGGCAGCCGAGCATGCGCAGAGCTGCCGGAGCAGCCACATTGACTGCCACCATCACACAAGCCTCAAGTCCTCCATCAGGAAAGAGACCAAGGTGTTGAAGACTCTCTCCGTCATCATGGGTGTCTTTGTCTGCTGCTGGCTGCCGTTCTTCATCTTGAACTGCATGGTTCCCTTCTGCGAGAGCCCACCCAGTGACCCCCACGCTGGCCTTCCCTGCGTCAGTGAGACCACCTTTAATATCTTCGTCTGGTTTGGTTGGGCCAACTCCTCTCTCAACCCCATCATCTATGCCTTCAATGCTGACTTTAGAAAGGTCTTCTCCAACCTCCTGGGGTGCGGTCAGTTTTGCTCTAGTACTCCGGTGGAGACTGTTAATATAAGCAACGAGCTTATCTCTTACAACCAGGACACCCTTTTCCATAAGGAGATAGTGACTGCTTATGTTAACATGATCCCAAATGTGATTGACTGTGAGGAAAACCGCGAGGACCCTTTTGATAGGATGACCCAGCCCTCCCCTGAGCACGAGATTGCCACTGACTCTGTCTGTGAGCTGGACTGCGAGGGGGAGGTTTCACTCGGCAAAATAACACCTTTCACTCCAAATGGTTTACATTAAGTTGCACCCTGTCCTGGTCAGTTCTTCTTGGATTATACAACAAAATACTAGCACTGAGTGGAAGAACCTGCTTGATTTTATGCTGTAGTTTGGTCAGTCACTTCATGCAAAACTCCTGTGTGTAGCACTCTGCAGGTTGTAGACACTGTCGTGCAGGGAGCTGGCAGCACAAACTTCATTCAGCGCTTCCCCGGGCTGAGAGAGGATCAGGTGGTCGCGTTGATTAGCTGTGGTGAGGTGTTGTGGTATAATTGCGGTCAGTTCTTGTTTATGATGTGTTTGCAAATGAAAGGTGCCGTTGTCAGTGCTAAGTATTGCAACTTCTAAAATCAGGGACAGATGTGGCCGGCATAGACATTAAATAGAAAAAAATTCTAGGCTGTTCATTTGTTCAGATCTTATGTTTCTTTTTCTCTGTTGTTTTTTGCTTCTTTGGTTGGGTTTTTTGTTGTTGTTATTTTTTTTTTAAAGATAGCAATAGTGAGGTGGTGATTTGGATGATTATTTAAATGCGTGTTTCTGCCAAAGCAGTTTATGTGAAATCCATGTTCTCCTAGGCGGCGTTGTTGCCTATGATATCCTTGCTGTGTTCCCAGATGAATAAATAAAAGTTACACTGATCAAGGGGTTATTATCTTTCATTTATCACCCTGAAAGGTTTACAAGTATTCAAACTTTAGCATTCCTGTTTGAATGGTTAGAGTGACTAACGACTAAACCCTATTATTTTAAAAGCAAAGTAGTCTGCATAGAAAATACCGTTTTTGAATAAAAGCGAGGCTCATAGGAATGATTGACTGACACAAACTCTTTTATATGGCTTTGCTTACAGTTAGATTTATGTCTGTTTTTCTTCTTAGTATTGTAACTGATACTATCCCTCTCTGCTGCTAAGAACATCAAATATACATATCTACATGCTATTAAAGCTTTCTACTTAATTCTATACTTTTTAAAGATACTATTGGTGAGAAGAGTTTGGTGATAAAATTGGAAGCTGAATGTGTCTAAACAGTAATTGCATTTGAAAGTGATGTTAGTAATCAGCATTTCCCAGTGTAGACATTAGAGAACTCATTCAAAGCAAGAGAAGAAAAAACGCTGTTGATGTTTGAAACATTTACATCAAATGAAATAATGTATTTAGAAATGTTTGCAAGCTTTCAGCTCAGAAATCAGAAGTGAGCTTGTTTCCAAGACAAATGATCAAAGGCAGTAAAAGCAATACCAGTATTTATTTAAAGTATTTATTTAAAGTTTTGGCTCACAAAATGACCAGCATTTGAGTTCATTTACCCTTTAAAATTGCCCATGCGGTGAGCTGAGGAGGTTTAAACTGAACTGTGGCTGCGGATTCAGTAGCGCTCCCTCCTGATGGCCCTGACCTGGGGCCTCCCCTCTCCTGCCCACCTGGGAGCTGAAGGCCCCTATGTGATGTGTGGGGGAAAAGTAGGACCTGCATTTGCCAGCATGCTTCAGGGGAAGTCGTTTACCCAAATGCTTAGGATTGAGTCTCTCTGGAAGTCAAGTCCCTAATACTGGTTTGGGGGTTGCCTTACCTCCCCTTGGGATATGGGGTGGAAGAAACGCAGGAGGCGTGATTGAAATACCTTTGTGGTCGCATCTGCTGCAGTCTGGCTTTCTCTGCAAGCAATGTTTTGCCTGTGTAGTCTTTGATATTAATGGGTTATATCATCATTTTGGATTATCTTTTCAACTGCTTGTCACTGAAGATTGACATCTACCTGAGCGTTTTCTTTGCTGTTGATATGAAATCGCGGTGTAATATCCCTTTACAGCTGGCCTCAGAAAAGGGTATTGTGTGGCTTAGGGAAGCTTGAAAAACAGAGACCCATGCCCAGAACCAGGTTCAGTCTACTAAGGGCTTGACATTGAGGGTGAGTATGCTGTCATTTCTCTACTAAAGGAATCATGTGTTGCCAGGAGTTAACCGTAGTTCTAGCCCTGCTGATCAGAGAAACTTGCCCAGAATAAAATAATTTTCCCAGATAGAAATGAAGGAAATTGCTTCTGGTGGTGCAGTGGTGAATTATCTAAACCAGAAGTTAGTTATTTTGCATTTTCTAGTTACTGCTCAAATTCTGAGACTAGTACAGCATGTTAAACTTTCTGGATCTGTGCAAAAAACCTGTGATACCCAGATGCAAGAGGTGCAGGCACCTGGTGCTGATTCCAGCTCCCAGGGCAGCGCCTATATTTTACGCAATTTTGTCCACATTAAATCAGAAACAGCCCAGGGAAATGGGGAAGGGAAAACATGATGTCTTCCTGAACACCTGCGTGCCAACAGGCTGCGCAGCCCGGTGCTGCGTGTTACACCCTGCTCCAGCAGCAGTACAGAGCAGCAGAACAGCTTCATTAGGAACAGTGACGAGGGTGTCCCCCCACCTGCCCACAGTGAAACCTGTCCTCCTCAGAATAATCCCCGTGCTGGTGGTGTGACAGTTCCCTTGGATCCAGTTCCCTGGGGGTCTGGTGGAGAGCCAGATGTGTACAAGAAGATGCTAGTGCATCCCCTTTGACAGGTGTTTTTCTCCTTGTTGAGGCTTTACCCACCCGGATTTCTGAAGTAAGTGGATGGGCTAACACTGAGATGCAAGAAGATGCCCCCTCCATCAGTGGGTTTATAGAACAGCTTTGCACAGAATATTAAAAACAGTCTTAGATCTGAAGGGAGGCAATTTTTAGCCTGCCCCCAGAATTTGGGAGCATGATTAGGACAATATAGAAAACAGGTCAAATTACCACTTTTCTTTATTGATTTTAATTTATGACTTCAGCTGGTAAATGATTTCTGATGGTGGCTCTGCGATGTAATCTCTCTCCTTGGAATATATACCTCTCAGGGGGCTTCATCCTTTGGAGCCCCAGGAGCATCAGAAAAGGAATATTTCTGCTTCAGAATTCAGAGAGAAGGTAGTCTTTTTTTGCTGGAAGCACAGACTGACCTTATGGATCTAAAAGAAAACCTTTTTCTTCACTTGTAACATAGGGACAATTTGTTGCTTTTTAATGTGTCTTAATTACGTACCACTGACAAAGCTGGAGTATGCAGAATTAGTAAGATAAACTTTTAAAAGAAATGTGTATCTTGCCTTGAACTATAAAAAGGGGCAGACCGTTTTAGTGAAAACATCCCCAAAAAGGATTTTTTTAACTTGTTTCTCTCAGATGAAACTGCTGCCCTACTTTTTTAATGGTTTCCCTCATAAGGACTAATGCGTCTGCCCAGCCATAGAGCAGAGTTCACTGGAAGTGCAAGGAGGTTTTTATAAGCCTCATATCCTTGTGGTGTCACTCCGGAGTTCTTCTGTGCCAGTGGTTTTGTGGCTCCCATCAACATGTTTTCTTCTGTGAAAGTCACCTTGCTCCTGTCATGCATTTTACTCTCAAATTAAGTGTGATCACTTATTGCTAGCTCAGTTTTGGTTTTTTTTTTTTTTTCTGTTTTATCCTTTGTACTTAAATGATTTGAATGTACAATGCAGTTTGTCTTTGGGTCATCACTACTTAATCTAGTCCTGAGTGATGGCTGACCTTCAAGGTCCCAGGTTATTTTCAGTTTCTATTTTGTGTTGCTGTTTAGAAATCTTACCTTGCAATATGTGTCACTGTTAAATTACCTCTTAGCCAGCCAAAGCTTCTGCCACGGCTTGTTCTGTTAGTCATGGATAGCTTCACACCGAAGGAGGGTCAGTATACCAGTAGTCTGTATGTTTTCCGTCTGAGTTAACTAATGACAGAGGAGTTCATTTTTGTAGAAGAACAGAACATGTGAAGGCATCTTAGTTAATTTTTAAGAAGCTAGGACATGTAGGACGTGAAAGTACAGTGTTTTATGTAAAATGCTGCAGACACCATGAAGAGTCTTTTCAGTATTCAACCCCCAAAGAGCTTTTGCTTTTAACAGCTCTGGGTTTAACAAGGGGTGTTGGGTTGTGTAGTGGTTTTTTCCGTCCAACCTGAAGAAATGTAGATGACTTTCTTAGAGGTGAACACAAACAAAATGCTTTCCAAGGGGAGAAAAATCACTGCAGTATTTTTTGGTAAGCTTGTTACTTTATCCCCTTGCTTTCATTGTGTTTTTTACTTGTGCCAGCCACATCTGATGTGTGTCTGCAGGGAGGTTCCTTACTGAGAACTCCTGTATTTTTGTAACATATAACAAAAGGGCTTCAAAATTAGGAAGGCTTCTTGTAGAAATAACATTAAGCACAATCTTACGTCATTTAGGAGTCAATCATGTATAAACTCAGCATTCAAGAGACCGACAAGACTGGAGGCAACGTTCAGAATGTGCATCAGACTGGAGGTTTGCGAGGTCATAGGTCCCTCAGCTGTTTGTGTGTGCCAAAATTGCCGGTCTTAACAGGGAGGGCATTTTTGTCACTGTTACACAGAAGGCAGGGTATACACCTATGTCGGTGTTCATAATTATGCTGAGATTTTTCTTTCCTCTGAGGCCATCTTCACTTCTGTTTAATTGGATTCATCACATCTTTAAAATTGCTCAGTGCCTATTTAAATCAGTAGAAGACCTCAGTGATGGATGTGGGCTTGGGTCACAGAGAAATGAAATTATTTTTGCTGGCTTCTTATGAATATTACTACGGGTATTCTCTGCTAGTGGATGATGACATGTTCAAGTTGGCATGTTGAACAGAATATTTCACCAGCTGATACGCAGAAATAATTCTTTTATTTGGGTTTACTTATTTGTTTTCAGACTTTGGAGGACTTTTCAAGCTTTCCAGTAGCTTCAGAAAGTCCACACAGAGCATCTCCACATTGATCGTATCTCAGATCGACAGCTGGTTGCATTTTTAGTGCCCTGGTTACTGTATAGTGCACTATGCTTTTATGAACAGAATTATGTCCCTCGGTTTAAGCTGGTGTTTTCAAAGGTAAGGGTATGCTTTTGGTCTAAAAGCGCTGATGTCCACAAAAATGCCAAGAATACCAATGGTATCCTGGCTTGTATCGGGAATAGTGTGGCCAGGAGGACTACGGAAGTGATTGTCCCGCTCTGCTCGGCACTGGTGAGGCCGCACCTTGAGTACTGTGTTCAGTTTTGGGCCCCTCACTACAAGAAGGACACTGAGGTGCTGGAGCGTGTCCAGAGAAGGGCAGCGAGGCTGGTGAGGGGTCTAGAGAACAAATCTTATGAGGAGTGGCTGAGGGAGCTGGAGCTGTTTAGTCTGGAGAAGAGGAGGCTGAGGGGAGACCTTATCGCTCTCTACAACTACCTGAAAGGAGATTGTAGTGAGGCAGGTGTTGGTCTCTTCTCCCAAGAAACTAGCGATAGGACGAGAGGCAAAGGCCTCAGGTTGCATCAGGGGAGGTTTAGGTTGGATATTAGGAAGAATTTCTTTACTGAAAGAGTGGTCAGGCATTGGAACAGGCTGCCAGGGAAGTGGTGGAGTCCCCATCCCTGGAGGTGTTCAAAAAATGTATAGATGTGGCACTTTGGGACATGGTTTAGTAGGCATGGTGGTGTTGGGTTGTCAGTTGGACTTGATGATCTTAGAGGTCTTTTCCAGCATTAATGATTCTATGATTCTATGAAATGAGTACATTTCCATTATTAATGGGGCACCAAAG